CAATTCTCTTTTTTTTCATATAGTGCACAGTAAATGGGATCAAATTTGAAAAGCTTCAGAAAGGAGCAGGAAAGAATGTTGCTAGCCTGGAGATGTTCTTCTCTGGATTTCCCAAGATTATTGGTATGGAGAACTTCCCAGATCTTCAAAATTTAACTCTGATGGGACAACAGATTACAATGCTGGAGAATCTGGACTGTTTGCCAAACCTTACAGAGTTATGTGTGTCTGAAAGCAAGATAACTGTAAGTACAAGTCAAGGTTGAATTCTCAAATATTAATGGGGAACTTAAGCAAACCATGCCTCTATTAAAAAGAAAAAAACATGAAATCGCCAAAATTTGTGAGGTCTAAGATTGGAAAATCCCAAAGGAAAATTATTAAAGTTTCAAATTGACAGGATTCAAACTTGTGCCTCTCAGAAACCACCAACTGAGCTATAAAGTCACACATTGAGAGGAAGGTACATTTTGGACAAACATCTTCGGTAGACACAACGTCTAAAGTTAAAATTCCTCCATTTTAGAAATTCCACAATTTTTTTTTTAGGCTAAGTGGTTGTTGGTATGGTTATTGTGAGAAATTTTGTGATTGGTAGATTTAGCTGAGTTGACTTAGAGTGATTGGTTGCTTCAACAGCCAACTGTCCAATTACAGCCAACTGTCTGATTACAGTCAACTGTCCAATTACAGCAACTGTCAGATTACACTCTCCAATTACAACTGTGCAGAATGACTTGTGAAAAAGAAAGCAGTTAACTCACTAATCACAAGTTAGGAAATTATAATTATGATACTGTTATGATTACTATGAATTTCTACTTTCCAGGCTATCTCTGGCCTTGATGGCTGTAAGAAGTTGAAAAAGCTGTTCTTATATGACAACAAGATTACAAAGATTGAGAATATTTCTCACCTGGAACAGCTGAATGTTTTATGGCTGAACAACAACAATATCATTGCAATTGAGGTATGAATTTAAGGGAGTTCTGTTATCTGAGGGACACATGAAAAGAGGCAATGCACACATAGTCTCGCTTTTGAGTTGTGTTCTAGCTCAGAATTTTTTTCTTTCTTCCATACACAATACAAACTCAAATTAACAGTTTTTTTTTCTTTGCAGCATAACATATACTTATTTTACAGTCTCTGTCTTTATTATAAGTCTGACTGATGTGCATGTATTGGTCAGTTCTCTTTCAGTAAGTATATGTTATATACCAGTGGAGGGAGTCCATAAAAAATTATGTGAAATAACCGTAACTCAGGTCTTAAGTAAAGCCCAGGGCCAATTGCAGAGGGCTGTACTCAAGACCAAGGCATCGGTTTTATCCCAAACAGACTGACCTAGGCTAGTGGATAACTTATTTAGTTATTTCTTCTGGTTTGCTTTTTAATGCTTTGCTATGAATGGTGCAGAAAAAATTGTGGGCCAAGGTTTAGCCAATCAGATTCAAGGATTTAAGATTCTGACCTGCTGTGATGCCTCAGAGAAAATAAGAAGTAACTGTATTTTTTTTTGTTTAGGGCTTAGAGAAGCTTCTTTATCTCCTTGATCTGAACTTGGCAGGAAATAAGATTACAGAAATCGGTGAGCAGTAATTGAAATTTAATGTTTCTGCATAATCATTTTCTAGTTTTGACCTCCATGCCTACTTATTCATGATGAGGAATTACGCTTTTCATCTACAGTAAATTGCATGAATAACATTTCGCTTTTTATGTACAGTAAATCGCACGAATAACATTCTTTTCTATACCCACAGGGAATTCTCTCAATGGAAACTTAAATCTTAAAACTTTGAATTTGTCAGCAAATTGCATTGCATCCTTAAAGGTAGGTGTGTCTGAGGGTAAAAATTTGTTGTGTTCTTCAACCCTTTAATTCTGGTCAGTGATCAAGACAGAATTTCTCTTTACCATATCAATACAAGATCAGGCAGACAATTAATGAGAATAAAGAGAAATATCAGTTTATACCAAATTCTCAAAACTCACACTGTTAGAATTTTATTTTATTTCCCTAGCATGCCCCTGGCCCTACTTAGTAGGGCGTGTTGCTTTGAAACATGCAATACTTGCTGCGCAAGCATAAATCAATTCAGCTGCTTACTCAGTTCAGATCAAACATTTAATGCATTTTCTAATGGCAAGTCTGTATTATCAGATGGGAGGTAGAAAAAACTGGGTCGATCAATTGCTGGCGCAGGAAATAAAAGCCTTTATGTGTATGTGCAATGTGTAGGAAGTTCTGAAGATGTGGCAGAAGCAACTGAAGTTTTTTTGTTGCATTACATGTTGTAGGATCTTACAAACTTGTCACAGCTGCCATGTTTGGAGTCTCTAAGTTTAAAAGACCCTGTGTACGGGCCAAACCCAGTGGCTTTGCTGTGCAACTACTCAACACATCTCTTGTTTCATCTGCCAAACCTGGAAAGAGTGGACTCCTACAATGTGGACGATAAAACACTGAAGGAACTGGCAGAGGTATGTGAACCAAGAGAACTGGTTTGACTTTATCCACGAAACTAACCCAAGCAGTTCTATGATCTTCACAACTGTTAAGTTGTCAAGTTCTGCTAATACACAGTGTAACAACAAAAGCGTTATCTTTCTAACTCGAAATACTTTTATTTTAGAGAGCTACGGTAGTAGTAGGTTGAAACTAAAAATATACGTCAGAGGTCAGTTAAGTAATGAAGATAAACAAACTACAAACAAAAAATGAATTCAAACAAAGCGAAACGGAAAAAATACTTGGATTGATAACGCTTACTATGTAACTGCAAAATAGAGAACTGCGCAAAGCGCGACTTTAGGTGAACTGACTTAAAAAGTGGTTAAGCGTAAAAGAAACTGGCTTTAAATACAAGAGGACTGCGAAATAGCGTGTGGTATGAGAAACGAGCAAAATGGTGTAACTGACGAAGAAAAACGCTGACAAACTTAACAAGAAAAAATTAGGAAAATATTTGGAGCTAAAGTATGAAAAAGTTAAGAGCTGAATAGGTAATTACAAATTACACGGAAATAATTGGCAAGCGCCTAGATCTTACATACAGGGTCCTGGAAAACCTGGAAATTCTTGGAATTTTATTTTGAATATTTTGCAGTGACAGCATTCTCTGTTTAAGAAAAAAAATTTCAGCTTTATGACAACATTATTTACATGCATATTATGTTAAGGCCCAACAGGCAGCTTTCAGCTCTTAAATTCTCTCTTCTTTTAGACCACAGTGGTTAAGAAGAAGATGTATTACAACATGCGCGTGAAGACGATGCAGAGAAACAAGGCTGACTTGCTTTTCAGACTGGAGACTGAGAGAGCAACTCTTCAGGCTGAACCCAGGAACAGAATGCTTAAACTCTTTTCAGCCGTCAAAGATGTATGTTTACAGTGATAAATAGGAAATTCGTGAAAAAGTTGTCATACTTTTAAGGAATGTGCAAGAGGCCATTTTACAGTTGTGTATTTAGTTGCCAAGCCTTTGATTTAGAGTGAGGCTGAAGGTGACTTTGTTGTGATAGAGACCAGTATCTAGTTAGCATGATAACAAAGTAAATTTGCATTTGAAAAGCAGCAAGGTTTGTATTATAACAAGGTCAACCTTAGCCTCACTCCTGTTCAAAGACTTGGCAACCAAGTACGCAACTGTAAAATGGACTATTGAGTTTCGAAAGTAATCCATGATTACTTTGTTTTTGATTTACTTCGCTCTGTGATTGGTCCAGAAAACTCGTGCCACGCTCTCAACCAATCAGATGCAAAACTAAAACCATTTACGACTTGGTCGCCCGCGTTTTCCCGCGCTTTTGGCAGTTTACTTTTTACTTTGAGTTCTCATTGGCTCTTAAGGGTATTTTCCTTCTGATTGGCCGTTGTGATACGCTATCACATTCATCTTTAGAGCGACAGATTGTTTTAAGGATCGTTATTTCCCAATTTTTTTCCTTACAGATAGAGAGAGAGGTTGAGGAACAAAGAGAGGGATTGTCATCATCTTTTAAAGAAAACAAAAATCCCATAAGTCCTGTTGCAGGGGACGAGGGGAAGAAAGAAAACTTGGAAGAGAAAGAGACCCTAGCGACTGATACAATGATGTTCTCACAGAAGCTGCAAAAGAAGAAGGAAGCACTGCTGAAAAGAATTGCAAAACTACAGAGACAGCGTGAAGAGTAAGAACTCTGTAAAAATGTTCGGTTCTTTTGTGTGCTCCTCGATCTAAATCATATTTCTCCAAACTAGTTGCCTACGATTCCCTATAAATTAGTGAGAAGAGTTTACAGAGCTCGTCCCTTTTTTATTTTCAGAATTAATCAGTGTCATCAGGAGAGTTGTGAACAAGTCAATAATGTCTCCGAGATGACAGTTCAGCGGCTGTTGTTGGAGTTGGAGACTGGAGGAAATGTGCGCTTTGAAGACGGCAAACAAACAGATCCGTGGTACAAAATTATTGAACTATATAAATCATGAATTACAATTAACGATGGACCCAGGAGTGGCCAACACAGCGCTCAAACGTCTGTGCTTGTGCGAACGTTGTAATGACTTGGGACACAGGGGCAAAATGAATGCGTTCGCTTGCAACGCGCAAGAGGTTTTATGCGCGTAAAGCAATGGGAACGAAAATATTTCCATAGTAACACTCGAGACAAAATGGCGGCATGTTTAAAGTTTGCATTGTTTGTTTTCATTAGGCGGGAATAAGCCCAAACCAAAACAGATAAGGTTACTCTTTTCAGGAAAGTTTCTGTGGCAACTCCTCCGTCACATGTCTTACGCAACAAAAAAATTTGGGGGTTGCAGGTGTGAATTTAGCGACTGCCACCGCTTTAGCTGTCTGGACAAATTTAAAACTGCTTGCGATGAAGTTTAATTAAAAGGTTGTTATTTAACCTTCAGTCCTTTCATAAAAACAGATATGTTTACTTGCTCCTCATTAAAAAAGTGAAAAACGATGTTCTGTTCGTTCCTCGACGAAATTAATTCACGCTGGAGTCTCAAAACGCTTTCCGGACGCGCCATATCTGCCGAGTGTGCGCACTTATTTTGCTGCTCTGTCATGACTAGGTGGTGTGCTTTTAAGCTGTTGGAAACAAGTTTTAACGAGTTATAAACAACTACACAAGCTATACACTGGATAAATGTCTTTTCAGTGGATAATGCAGTACGTTTTGTCAACACTTATCCGCTGCATAGGGGTTTATCAGTTGAATGGCTTTCTCTGCATTTTAAGCAACTGGGCCCCGGGTGATTACTGCAGCATCAGTGACATCAAGTCTGTTTGTTTTTAGGTACAAGTCCTGTCATGATCTGATTTTTTCAAGGTTCTGTGTTGGAGACTACTTGGTAAGAATTGACACTTATTTATTATAAATATCGTGTAATTAAACGCTTCGTCAATGGCATCAGAGGCTAAGCTACATTCAGATAGCGACTGAGGAAGGGAACAATTTCTCAGCAAAATTAAATTGTTAAAAAAAAAATTCACTTGAGTTCTTGTTAAATTTCAGGGTTTGGGAATTTCTGGTATCAAGGTTCACAGGATTACGAGAATCCATAACAGAATCTTAAGAACGAGATTTGATGATAAACTCGATCTGATATTGGACCGGGATGATATTACGGAGCTAACCCAGTATGTACAAATGAACACTTGAGGAGATGAGTTTTTTTTTTTGTTTTTTTTTTTTCCTAAGAGTGTATGGTATCAAATGCTACAATCTGATTTGTTTTAGTGCAGGCTGGATTCGTGTATCTTTCCCGCGGTCACGGTAACGCTTTCGTGAGTTTTTGAACATGTGGTTACAAAACTTGATACAAGCAGGCTCTCATCAATAACGCTCCAGAACGCACGTTTCTCCGCCCGTGGAAAGGTTTGAGACGAGTCGGGGAGAGGTTTCCGGGGGTCTGGCACTAATAATCAGCGCCAGACCCCTTGCAGAGCTCTCGTTGGCTCGCGAGGCCTCACACTTTCTCGTGGGCGAGGAAACGCTCATCCCGAAGCGCTATTGATAAGGACTTGCCCACAGTCTATTGCCTGTTTTCAAATTTGAGCTTCTAAACGCCAAACTTGCTACCTCATGGAGTTACACAGCCTGTATTGGCGTAGTAATAATACATTTTTAGTATCCTGAAGATACGGACGAAAACACGAACACTGGAAACATTTGCAAACACGAACAATTCATTTGAAAGACGATAAAGAAAGTTGAAAAGACAGATTAGTTATTTTTTTTACCTGCCGAAGGTCGGTTCGAAAAGCGAATAACTGTGACCCCAAACTTGAGGAATGCGGGCTCGGGCGCAGTTTTCAAAACCTGTGCCACAGTTTTTCAGTATACGGACCTCCCATCCGGCAAACAACATATACATTTTCACATTTGTTGAACATTGAAAGATCTAAAAGGAATCTCAATAAATTTCTGATATCGTCAACTAGGGGAAGATCATACAAAAGGCTTCTAGAATATCTCTTCTTTATGTGGAATCCTGCTCTGCTCAACGGAAATGGTGAACCGATAAGAGTACTGGAGGAGGGCTTCCGGCCGGCACAAGTTTATGAGGTACGCTCAGAGCGTTTTCTTTTTATTACAAAATTTTTTGTTTTGTAGTTTGTTTTTTCACTTAAAACAAGTGGCAAGTGTCGTAAAGAGCCATTGAGAAACGGCTTTAATTCCTTAACTCCCAAGATCTCATTAGTAATTCTCCTTACTGTCTGCCATACAGTTCTTGTAATGTTAGTGTGGAGAATTTGTTATGGGATCAACTCATAATCCCCTGATTGATATTTTTCTTTATTCTCATCACTTGCCTGCTTGATATTTTATTGATATTGTAAGGAGAAATTCTGTCTTGGTCACTCATGGGAGTTAAAGGGTGAAGAGCGGGAATACAAATGACGCGAGTTTTCATCACCATTTACAGCGGAAAGGAAAGCAATACTAATGTAAGATCGGGTGTCTCCAGAAACTCATTGAAAATTGCTTTCTGAGTTGTTCTAGAGCTATTTTCAACAGATTGTCGAAAGCAATCCGGAATTCCTTGGTTTCGCGTTTCTTCGCGGTATGATTGGTCCAGAAAACTCGCGCCATTTTCGTAAATGCAAAACCAAAGCCAAACGCGTCCTGGTCACCCGCGTTTTCCCGCGCGTTTTTACTTTAAATTCTCATTGGCTGTTTGTGATATTTTCCTTTCCCTTATTGGCTGTAAAGATAACTTTGATTTTGGATGCACAACACTCCATTGAAATACGCTGGTAGAGGATTTGTTTCATGACTGGCTTTTGTAGTGTTCACTTAAAGTTTGATTGTCTTTGCAATCAGTCCTTTGAATTTCTCGTCAGCAAAACTGGTTGGTGGTTGGCCATAGTGCCAATTTTGTGTGATAAGTTTGCCTTCTTTCTTTTAACAGAGATTAAATGAAGAGGGTGGAGTCCCACTGGCCAACAGTGTTAGTGTCTGTGACAGATCAAGAGTGGATTTTCTCAGGAAACGGGCTAGGGAAAGAGGAAGTACTGACCAGTGTCCGTTTAGACACGGTGAGAATATGAAGAGAGATCAGTAAATATTGCACAGCGCATATAAAAGACAGTTCAAGAAACATTACATACCCATACTCGTGGTGTTTAGAGTGCTCTGAACTAGCGAATGAAAGATTGAAGTAGACTATCTACAATCACAAGTTTGCGTTTTTTTTTCGTGCACGACGGTGTTCATTTTCCTTGAGCGCCGGCGAAACCTGTGACGCGTGGACTAAATTTGAACATTATTATTTGTTTAAAACCCCTTAACCTCGAAGAGTGACCAGCATCTAATTTCTCCTTACAATATCACCCCTGAATCACACATAAAGATAACAAAAATGAAGTGATTACCAACCAAAGAAGCTCTCGATTGTTAAACAAATTCTCCTTGTCAGCACCTTAGGAAATGTATAGAGAACAGTATGGAGAATATGCATACTGATGTTGAGGTGTAGAGGGTTAGCAATTATCTTTGTACTGCTGAGCTCAACTCGTTTCACCACATTTTTTTTTTCTGATCGTTAGTGCGAAAAAGTTTTAAGATCCATGTTGTGTGCTTCCTCTTCTTTGTGTTTAGGTCAGCTGATTGTAGCTAAAGTGTTTGTCGGAAAAGTCGTCCCGGCAAAAAATGAAAACAAGTATGTCAGAAATTTTTATTATAAGAACTGTATGTTTTAAGGCAGTGTCGTCGCTTAAGAGCCAAGGCAGAATTGAACCCCGAAACTCCTAATTGTCGACTTAGCTAATATATATCTGCGAACCAAGCTCGCCCCAAACAAGATGGCTGTATGTTAACGAAGTGTGACCTGAACAAGTTCGATAACCTTGCCTGGTAGTGTGATATGAAGTGTGTTTCATTACCAAGAAATTTTTCTTTTTTTTGTCAACTATCTTCAGAATTAGAGTGGCTATTTTTTGAGCCTTCTGTTATTAAAACTGCTGTCAAAAAGATCCTAGATGTGGGTTTTTTGAGGGTCCTAGGTGGGACATCCCGATACTTGAGGGCCCGATTGTCCTCAAAGGTAATCAATCAGAACACGCGATTCACTCACTTGCGAATTCACGGAAGCAAGTATTGGGCGAAGTTTGTCTCGTCTATGATGCGAATATCTGCAAATTCGAAGGCCTCCTAGTGGCATAAATGTTCCTTTTATAACTAAATTGATGAGCGTTTCTGTTTTTGTTAAGGATCACTAGAGCAACATATCGCGGAGCAGACTCAGTATTTCGAGCGCGAAAACACGAGAACTGTCCGAGCAGACCTGGATCGACAATAAAGAGACAAGTTATGGACACGAGTTGCGAGTGTAGCGCGCGGCAGTGCGCGTGGTTCGTGTTTGATCACGAGATGGTCTTACCGGAGTACGTGGTGGATTTCGAATATATCACCAAGGTAAGGAAATAATTTTCGGTTTTTTTGTCTTGTAGGAAATATCTTTTACTTGTTATTCCTTGACATAATTCTGGTAAGGTAAGGCTAATCTTTCTTGACACCTTGGAAGTTCCGAAAGATGGTTTTAGTAATGAAAAAGATAGCAGACAATTGTTAGCCGTATTATTAGGGCATGCGGAACGCGCGTTTTTCCGCCCGCGGGAAGATTTGAGACAAGAGCTCTTGCCGGCTCACGTCGCTCAAGGCCTCAGGCTGGTATCAATGAGGGTCAGCTCGGAGGATTGTCATTCTATAGTTTTGTTGATCGATTCCACTTTTTCCTCAGGTGAAACCCAAATCTTCGTTTATTTATTATTACGGGGATGTGACCACGCCAAGTTATAAACAGAACGGGGAGCCTGGGGAGGAGAAAGAAAACATTCCTGACGAGGATGTTTTGAACATGGAACCTGTTATTCCTACAAGACCAAGGTAACAAAGTATCTTTTGGTAGGGTAGAGAGGGTGGGAAGAGAAGGGGAGAGCGGGGTAAGGAGATATAATATATCTGTCTACTGTAGTCTTACAACCAATGGTAGCAGTGATCTATCAGTTTTCAGGGACTGTCCCAACCTCGAGCTCGTTCCCAGGGTCTTCTCTCTTCTTCTCTCAGGAAAGAACCTGGTTACGGCCGGTCACGTGGCTTTGCTAACAAAAGAACGTGAGGGAGGGAGGGTGGATCCGACTTAATTTTATAAACTCTCTTGGCTAAAGCGCGAATACAAAACATTTTTTTTTGTATTGTTCAAATTCTGGGAGAATATGTAGCTGACTGGGCCACTCAGGCTAAATAAAGTTTACCTTACCTGACCGTCGATTTTTAAACTTCGTGCCATCTACTAAGAACTTTAGAAACGGAACGTTTGAAGTTTTGAATTTAAAAATGTTTAAAATTTACCGTGTGTTGTTATTGTGTATACTGTTTTCGTCTCTGTTTTCAGGTTTATTGCCCTAACAGAAGAACTGTTGTTTAAAAGGTGCAATGTGGAGTGTTTGGAACATATTGTTGTAAGTGACGTCACGCTGCTTTTCAAACTCCCTTTTTATAGCATTTTAGACTCATTTGTCTTATTTCTTTTCCATTCTTTCTCGGCCAGTGCTTAAATCTCCATGGCAACGGTCTGAGCCGCTTACAGCTCGTGAATTGTATGACGGCCCTCAAGAGGTTGACAGTCAGCTACAATGAACTAACGCGATTGGATGACGTCAGTCACATGGTAAGATTAAGATCTAACCAATCAGAATTTTTATATCAGTTTTGCTATGGGCTTGCAAAGTTTTTTGACCCAATAAAAAGACGAAGCTACAAAATTATTCAAGTAAGGAAAGTGATACGTATCTAATTTCTCCATACAGTATCACCCTTAAATCAAATATTAACGCCATGAGAATGACTGCAAACTCAAGAAGCTCTTTTAGTTGATTGTTGGACAAATTCTCCTTGAGATACTACAGGAAATGTATAGAGAACGGTATTGAGAACTTGCATGCTGATATAAGAATTTTAATGGTCTTTTTAAAATTTTTTTTGTCGTATACTATGAATTGTACAATGTTTCCCCCCACCCACCTTATTTTGAATCAACGTCAGTACTGAGCAACTGCGCACTTACCCCTCCCCTAACCCAACCACACTCAACCCTAACTTGTTACCAGTTGATTGTTGTGGGGCTAGGGGACATTTTCCCGTATTTTTCATGGCTTTTCTTTGTGTTGTTGTCATCGTTGAGGTCTTAGAAATAATTCCTTTTTCTTGTTGTGCAGATATTTTTGGAGTATCTTGACGTCAGTTTTAACAAAATTACAACCTTGGATGGATTGAAGGTCTGTGTAGACAGATGTTGTGGTATTATGTAGGGGAAGAGGATGAAGGCACAAGCTTGATATCACGACGTTACTTTTTTGAAGCGATTGACAAAATTTTTTGTGTGTCTTCACAGGGCTGTAATCGTCTAAAGCATTTAGATGTGAGTTGGAACCTTCTGACGCACACCCGAGAGGAACTGGGCATCATGAGGAAACACGTGATCACTCTTACTTATCTGGACACGCGCAATAATCCTTGGCAAAAAGTGAGCCATTGATAATTAATTCGCATACATTAGTGAGTGGGAAAGAATAAATTACCAACAAGAATACGTTAGTGAGTGATGTTTAGAGCGCTGGACACCGGGTCGAGACTTGGCTGGGTCATTGTGTTGTGATCTTGGGCAAAACACTATCCTCTCACAGAGCCTCTCCTAATCCACGAGTATAAATAGGTACCAGCGAATTGCTAGGAAAGCCTGATGAAATGCTGGGGGGTAACGTTCCAGTGGACTGTTTTCCCATTCGGGGGGGGGGGGGGGGGGGGGGAGTAGTGATACTCCTAATCGCTCCATGCTATGGAAACCAGGATAAGCTCTGGCTGCATGAGCCACTTGATACGAGTACAGATTATTATTCGTTAGCGAATGGGGTAACGTCACAGAGGTATAATGACTGTAACTGTAGGAGCTGAAATGCTGAAGCTGAACCAAAAAAAGACTAGGGGTATTAGTTCTCCCCCTGTACGGGATTCTGGTCCATCTTTATTCCCAGCATTCTCCAGTTTCCCCGATAGTTTGCAAGTGTAAACCACAACGCCCAAATCATTTTGCTACTTTACGCTTGGTGTCACATGCATTGCAAGCACGTGTAAGTCCCACGAATGACGCAAGGTTGACACGCGTGTAGATGGTGTAATACACGTGCGCGGTGCTGTATTCTCACTCTTGAGTGGACAGAGAGGTTCTGTGAGTGTTGAATGTCTTGTCACAGAAAATAACAGGATGTCTTGGGTACGGTTGGAATTTAACGCTCTGAACGCTTCGAAACAAAAGAAGTGAGGCTAAATCTGTTGTTATTTCCTAGCCCGAAACTTTAAGAATGCGAGCTCTTGGCAGACTGAAAAATCTGGAGTATTTGGATGGAGTTCAAGTTACTGACGAGGAGATGACAACAGCATTAAAGATGGCGGCCGCTTCCCGCCCTTCTTCTTTTGCTATTCTTGCGCATGCTCGCACAGACCAGAGCAAACCGCGGACTTTGAGTCTGGTACCGACTGCTCAAGCTATCCTGGCCAGCAGTCAAAATAGACCTGTCAAGTTACAAGACGATGACAGCCAATGGTTTATCAAGGTATTAGTCAAAATGAGTAATCTTTGTAAACAATGTTCTCTTAGTAAATGGTCTGTTTGAGGCTTTCTTTTGCTTTGACCAGGAAAGTCGATTGAAAAATGAAGTGATCGCAGGAAGGAACGAAGACTAGACAAAACCGTCCTACTGCCAAGGCCCCCCCCCCCCCCCTTTCCTTCCTTGCTCCCTTCAGCAACTGAGAGTGAAGGAGTGATGGGCAGGCTAAGTCGGTGACGAAGTTTGGTTCTGATACGAACAATCATTTCTCTGTGTTTTAGGTTACAACGGTGAACCTCGATAATCAGCATCTTGGAAAATTAGCGAACATGGAGCAACTGGAAAATTTACGATGGGCGTCTTTCAACGGCAACGATCTTACTAAGATTGAGGTGCGTGAACAACTGGAAATTTTGGAATTTCTTCAACTTTTCTGTACTTAATTATACCTTAATGAAAACTTTCTGAGCAATCAAAGAACTGTAGTCAATTCCCTGCAAAGACGGACGGTTTTTTTCTAGAACGTGCTTTGAGCAACCAGAGATAAGTTTGCGAAAGATTGCGTCATCCAGATCTGATTGAAAGCCAATCATTGTAGTTCGTCAGTCAAAATGCGCATCGACGCGTGCGCCAAAGTTCCGCCAAAACTTCCATAAGTTATCTGTAAACAAACCTTTTTCTTTAGGGTCTCGAGTCTTGTGTTTATTTGGAGGAGCTTTCTGTTGAAAACAACTGCATTAACAAGTTTGAAGGTAAAGTTCAGTGTTTGTCAAAGTTGTCTTCTATGAAATGTTGCTTCAGCAACATAACGTCCTTTATATACACACATTAGGGGCCTGTAAAACTAGGTTTCATTGACCAATCAAAGGTCGCGTTATTTGAAGGTGTCAGTTGGCCAATCTATGGTAGTGTTCTATACTGAGACACTTTATCAACCAATCGCGGCCCGTGTTACTGAGATCAATTTCTTTGGGTTTCTGTCAGGGTTAAGTAAGCAGTCCATGCTAACATGGTTAAGCCTGGCTGGGAACCAACTCACTACTCTTGATACCGGAATGTTGGAGAAGCTTCCTCGATTAAGATATTTATCCGTGGAAAACAACGCCATATCTCATCTACGTGGCTTGCAGGTATTTATAGTATTGTCATCACTAAAAGATACGTCACGGCTTGCCATTTATTTCAAAAAAGCTTTGAAAAAGTTAGAGTTTCTTGAAAAAATGAAGCCTAAAATTCTTAATTCCGTTATTTTCAATTTGTCTTCCTTTCCAGAATTGTCAGAGCCTCCAGGAGTTTTACATAGGAAACAACACACTGGCGAACATACGAGAGGTTTACAATCTCAAGGTAAAAAAGGAATGGAAACTTTCTTATGGTGATGTGGTCGTTTTTGCCGTTAACCCTTTGACTCCTCAGAGTGACTGGCATCTACTTTCTCCTTACAATATCACCCCTAAATCACGCATTAAGCTCATGAGATTAAAGGAAATGATCACTAAATAAAGAAGCTCTTGATTGCTAAGCAAATTCTCCTTGTCAGCACCTTAAGAAATGTATGAGAATAGTACGGAGAATATGCATACTGATGTTAGGGTGTAAAGGGTTAGTTTTGTTGACATGTATCTGAACTGGATTCCTTCTTTTTCCTAGACTCTCCCCAGTCTTCTTATTCTGGACCTATGCGGTAATCCGATGTCTACTGCTGGTCAGAACTACCGTTTGTTCGTTATTTATCACCTGACATCACTCAAGGCTTTGGATGGATTAGCTGTGGTATGACGAATCCTTAGGAAGCCTACTTCATATAACAAGTGACAAATCATCTCTTTGCGGTCCACAGAGTTCAAACATGTTAATTCAGTTGGTCGAGAAAAGGTTCTTCTTTGGAATAGGAATCGATACTGAAATTTTTGACGACATCGTAATTTTTATTGACAGTTTACTTTCCAATCAATGTTTTTAATTTCTTAGTAGCTTTCAACGATTTTCTTTGAAATTGAAGCCTTACCCTGTAGAAATCTTAAGAGAGTTTCTTCTTTTCTCTTTTAAGAAAGAAATCGAATTTAGCGTGTGTACTTTTCTTCAATTGGCGTTGCTATTCTTTTTAAGGAAACTTCAGAGGGAAGTCTGGCCAAAGATATGTTTGGAGGAAGGTCAGTAATCTCGTTTTATGATTGGAAAATAATCGATGAGTAAAGTTTCGAAAGACTTTTATTTGACCAGATAAAACGTGCTGTAAGAATGATTAGCTCATTATATTTCCCTATGTTTTGTATCTCAGGCTAACTCCTGATTTTATTGCCGAACGTTTGGGACACTCAAACTTCTCCGATCTCAGAGAGCTTGACTTACCCCACAGCTCACTAAGAACTGTGGATCTTGGAACTAAAGACGCTTTTTTTAACTTGAGAAGGTAGGTACCAGCAGGCGTCGTTTTGCGCTCTAAGATGCCTTTCTTGTGTGTATGCATTTGTGGGTAGACTCGTTTCCAGTGTCTTTAGGCTTTTCCCCTTTGAGAAAGGAAGAGGACACTGGAAATGAGCTTGAAACAGTAGAGGGACTAGATAAATAGTTGTCGAAAGCTTCATTTACGGTCTGTTCTTGGACGATCAGGAAGCTAGTTTACTCCACACATAGGAGTGTAAAAAGTGCATCCTCCCTGCTGACTCTGTCATGATGTAATTTTCTTTGATTCTTAACAAATCGTGGTTCTCCTTTTACGATTTCAGTGTGAATCTTGAACATAACTCACTCACTTCATTTGGCGGCTTGGTGAACCTCATCAATCTTAAGGTAATGACCTACGGTATTCATTTACACTCCTGGGTGGAGGGAGGCTAGGGCTTGGACCCAGACCTCTCGATTACTTTTAGGCCATATATAGACCACCGCGTCTCCAACGCGTAGACCGAGGTGAGTAAATTTCTCGTGTTCAAATCATCTGAAGTACTGTTTACAAAGCATTTAATGTTTACTATTTTGTAAGAAGTCTAGTGTAAAGAAGAAATATGTTAGTGAAAATTATTGTAACAATTGTGTAAAACCAGGTTTGATGAGGTTTGCGTTACTTTTTTCCTCCCCAGGTCCTTTGTCTTAATCATAATCACATTGAATGCGTGGTCGCAAAGCCCAAAGCGACGTCACCAGCAAACGCGCCGAAACGAGGCAGTGATGTCTCTTCGGGATTGGAGATTACAAACCCAGAGAATTTTACTCCAGTTCTCCCCAATCTCGAGGTTCTTCACTTGGGGTAAGACAAAATATCCTAGCGTCCTTTGGAATTTCATAGATGTGGTGTGAACTACCGAGGTGGAGTTTATCTATGTTATCTTTTACTGAAACGAAAGGTTTTTGGACAAATTGTGATATTCTCTTTTGTGTGTCTACAGGTACAATGGTATTACCAATATGGCGGCCCTTCACTTGTCACGACTAACTAA